TTGTTCACTGTACACTTGCTTCTAAAAATTTCCTTCCCTATAATCACCATTTTTGCAGGCCAAAATACTGGGACTAGGGGTATATGGGTGGGCCTACATAAGCTTCTTTTACCCCATTTGCTTGTGCGTAGTACTGCTGGAGATTTTGACTTGATAGTGTAAACTAACTGCGTTCTAATTTCACCATAATTGAATGCTTGCCCCCGGCTGTGGAGTAAACGGTAAACCTTATCGAAAATGATGGTAAAACTGCAAAACTGTGGTATATGTGTAATGGAAATTTGAGGGTTCTTATTTTAAAGTCGTATTTAAATGTGCGGCCCTGTCTTGTAAAATAATGTTTAGGTGTCTGGGTTCCTCCCAAGACGGGACAAAATAAAAATCGTTTTTTATGTATTTTATATGCTTGTCTTCCATTTTAGTCGCCCACTAACCTCTGTGATCCGATAAAACTTTATTTGTCTTTTAGCTCGTGAAGGAAATTCGGCATCCTCAAAACAAGCTAGCAACAAAAGGTATGGTCATTTCAAACATAAGCCGTGTTGCTATTAAAAGAAATCGTTTTGTCACGAAGGCTATATCCTTTCCGGTACCTAGTACTTTATGGATGAGGGAGAGAGAGAATTTTTCAGTAAAAAATAGAAGCAGAATTGGAGAATTGTTTTAGTCTTTCGGGTTTCATTCACTTTGAGAAAAACCAGACATGTCCTTTTTAATTTTAAGGTACAGTTTGTGTTAGAGGGGACGTATCACAAAGGTCTTACAGTCGCAAAAGGACTGCACGATAAAAAAATTGGGGGGAGCAATTAATGTTTGAGTTTGTATATTTTAATTGCATATATATTGTAGTCTTTCAAATCTATTTATGAAATGAGGAGTTTTAAAGTTAAATTTTGCATAATATAGGTCGGACGGCTTAACACCTCAGAGTACGTGGGCAGATAAAAAGTAAGTATTGTTGTTTTTCCAATGGTTGATATTATTACTATATTTTATGAATTTTCCTTATCTTATTTTCCACTCGGTCTGCGTACGATGATTTTCGAATCTCGAGGGAGGTTGGACACAATATTGGAACTTATTTCCGATTATAAGGATAAATATGATGGTGTAGTTAAAACAAAATGGATACACATTTCCGTCAGGCCACGATACCAAGACGTTAAAAGGCTGTTTTTGAATTCATGGATAAATCCGACTTGCTAAATGTGGCTACTTAGGGTGCTTAGAATGATTATCGATTTTCTAAGAGGTTTAAATTGCACAAAATATTCCTTATGTACACGCTTCGTGGCAAATCACGTATGGTTGAAATTTTCTGCTCTTAGAAAGAGTATACTTTAGTTTATTTTGCCATTATATTGCGGGATTATCTTGAAATGTTGTTGGCTTTCTCAACTGCAAACTGTAAAATTTCCACGAAAAGAAAACATTATATACTTTTTTTATTTCTGAGCGTATTTGGCAAGCATACGTAGCTTTTGATAAATTCTCCTCTGTTCATTACTTTTATATAAGGAGGGGGCAGAAAGAAACATGCTGAAAATTTGTTCAGCATTACAGGCAAATTATTTTCTTATGATCGTACAGCAGGGCTCATAAATTTCTATACTGACCTTGGACTGCCTGGTATACTTGAAATAGAGCATTAATGAACGGCTAGCCAAGGTGATATTTGATGGAACATTTCGTATTCTTGATTTTTTCGAATCACGAAATATTTGAACTGAATATTAGCCCTTCGTTGGTTGAAATTTTAAGAGGACCTAGTCTAAATCGAACATGAAAAATTTTGAGCGCGCTTTAAAGTTCGCATATTCGTTCGGAAATTATATATTTTACTTGGTGTGGTGTTTGCAAGAATTGGGAAAGTTGACATCATAACTTCACTGAAATGACTTGGGGTTATCGTGCATCGTGACCTACATTTCAAGCGCATTTTAGTAATGCTTTCCAATCCAAAACACACTTCAGAAGTTCGGTTATGATTTCATAAGAATAGTTGCTATTTTCTTCTAGTACTGGTGTAATAGGAGCTAATGAGAAGGATTTTCTTTGGGTTTGTGCTGATTAAAGTAACCAAATACTACTAGTTTAATAATTGCATTACCAATCGGTAGCAGAGCTGGGCGAATTCTTCCTTTTAACAAAGTCCAATTTCGCAATTGTTCCGAAAAAATGCCCTGTGACTTCATATCTGAGTGACTTTACTCGATCATTTGTGGCTGCACCTCAACCCCTAAACACTTGGGTACATCATTGTTTAAAAATGTTAATAATTCTGTTGAACTGGGTAGCAGCGCTGTTTTGATATTACCGGCGTCTCTTGTGCATGCGGCTTGCTGTCATTAGATAAGAATCCTTGTCAGAATTGCATACTTTTGAGACAGGGAAAATGTCCACCAGAACAAATTCAAATTGTCGGTGAAGTTCGAAGTGTACGATCGGCTAGCAATTCCTAAAGCATTAAACGCCAAAATCAAACAGAATTTTCAATGGTTGGCCAAACGAATTGCTTGCTGAACCGATGGATTGTTCTCCCTTTTCGGTGCTTTGGACCTTTCAGTTAAAGTTAACTTTAGGTTCCCAAAATTGTTTAAATGATCTTATGTTTGGCGCGCAATAAATATAAAGAGAAATACCTCCAGCCTACATAAAGTTTATTTTATTTTTATGCTTGGTTTTAGTTTTATTTTTAATTGTTAATTTTAAGTTGATCACTGAGCTTTTTTATTTATTGTTTTTTTATTTGGGTTTATTTTAGACTAGATTAATCAGTCACATTCAGTTTTTTTTTCGAATTAAAAGCTTTACCAGTTAACTTAACCTTAGTTTATTTAGTTTGGCTCATTTAATGTACGTATATTTTCATTAAGTTTTTAGTTTAGTTCTCAGATCGTCATTATGTTTTATAAGTTTTATTTTAGTTTTAGATTGATTTGTAGTTTTCCTTTGTCAATTTGCTTGATTTAAGTTTTAGTTTAATTTGTAAGTTTGTTTTTAAAATTTAGTTATTTTCTTAATTTTTTATTTCCATTTGCTTTTCTCCCGGAAATTCTTAGTTCTTTGCGTTGCTCCGCAAATATGAGCAGGTCCCGATAGTTCCGTAGTTGTACATTTTATTTATTGCGCACGTTTTCTGGCCTCACATTAGATTATTGAAATAATTATTCCTTATTTTTCCCTTTAAAGATGCTCTATTATTTATTTATATATTCTTCCCTCTGTTATGCCCAAACTGTACAATCTATATAACCACGGGTCCCGTATTACACAAGGGCCTTTCGACTGACTGTTGAGGGGTTTGTCGGCCGCTGACGTATAACTGTCTCGCCTGTGGTTGAGTTGGTCGCAAAGCCACCCCTGCTGGGATTTATG